GAAGTTGGCAAAAAGCTTCCATATATATACAAACTCACAAGTCTGGTAAATTCATCACAGAGATTTTAATGCAGTACTGAGGCTTTCATTTCTCAAACAGACAATACCTTAAGTTGCTGCTAAGTTTTTGTAGTGACCATAGCAACAGAATCACCTGAGTTGTCTTGAGGTTCTTGGCTGAGATATCTAGGACTGGTACAAAAGAACAAGCTTACATTTCCCAGCAGCACATCTTAGGAAAGAGATGAGAATTTAAAGTCATTTCTGAAGATAGCCAACGATGTTGCAACTCATACAGAACACAGAGCTTCCCGTAAAAGTGAAATAGAGCTGGAGGTACAAAAACAGTGGGCTGTGCCCTGGATTAAATCAAGACCCCAAGGGCAAATGCACAAGATGCTGACCAAATGACAAGGAAGAGTAGGTGGGAAAAAGGAAGGTGAGATTGGAAGCTAAAAAACCAGGATTAGGAGACCTAGGAGAAAGCCGGAAGATGGTAAGACAGCCCAGAGTTCTCTCCTACTGGAGGTCCAGAGCACAGCTATGTGGGTTTCCATAAGCTAGATATTCACTGAGCACTGAGTCATGCATTTTAGAGAATATAAAAATATTTACTTAGGGAATACAAAAAAAAGTTATTTATTTGGGGACACAAATAAATAGGGATATATATATATATGAGAGAACATGAAATCTGGTAGGAAGGCTATATATATGAAAGATAAATATGGATGGGGAGGGGGAGTCTATATATGGTTTAAATATACTATATGAAATTCTCCAAAATTCAAATAAAAATGATTTTACAGATGTATACAAATATAAAATATTAAAGATATTAAAATATTAGAAGATAATGCATGATTTTATGCAGTTTACTCTAAACCACCCAACATATTATGCCATGTAAAGTCTGTGAACAGTAAGACTTGTGGAAAGTCTTGAAAAGTAACTATTAAGCCAGGTGTGGTGGTGCACGCCTTTAATCCCAGCACTCTGGAGGCAGAGGCAGGTGGATCTCTGTGAGTTCAAGGCCACCCTGGTCTACATAGTAACTTCCAGGTCAGCCCCACTACAGGGAGACCCTATCTCAAAAAAGACCAAAAACCAGTTAAAAAAAGAAAAGTATTAAATGAAAAAATAGAAAAATGAATATAATTCCACAAAATAATACACTCTAGAGGAACTGGGCAGAGAATAATTAGTACCAAGCCTGTAACTTGTTCACCTTCCAGGAAAAAAGGGGTAGAAGTCACTGAGGAAAGCTTTTCTGCCTACCACCAGTACTAACTTAAAGATTCAGAAAAAGTTTGAATTTGTTTTCCTTTGACTTAATTCACATGCATCAGTTTTCCTTTGAGTCAAATAATACATGAGCAATTCATTCATGGACTAGAAAATTAAAAGTAACATTTTCATAGCGTTTTCATGCCTGTGTATTATTTTCTGCTGAAAGCCTTTAAGCTGTTTAGATCCGTACTTTAAAATTTCATCTTTTGAGAGTTGGGTAACAGCATGAAGAAGCTGAAGACTTTCTGCTGGCAGCGATGTTTTGATGAAAGTTCATTTCTACTAACGAAATCACTCTTGGCAGCATTTTATAGTTATTCATCTGCTTCCCTGAATTCCTTTTCATAGAAAATGTTCTACTGAAAAGACCTCAAAACTAGATAAGTTTTTTTCTTTAATACACATGTTATAACTGAACAACCTAAAGACATTTGAATTCCTCTGTATAGTTTTGCCTCTGTAAAATTGAAGTGATAATGAACAGAATGCTGTGAAATTAAATGAAATAATGTGGATAAAACTGAAGCACAGTGGTTGGGCCATAAGAAGTAGATTTTTAATAATCAAAATATATTCCAGGGGCTGGAGAGATGGCTCAGCAGTTAAGAACACTAGTTGTTCTTGCAGAAGACCCAGGTTCGAATCCCAGCACCCACATGGCAGCTAACAACTGTCCGTAACTCCAGTCCCAGGGGATCTGACAGCCTCTTCTGACCTCTGTGGCATTGCATGACGTGGGTGCACTTATGTACATTCAGTCAATACACACAGGCACATAAAATAAAAATAATAAATAAAATAAAATAAAAATAAATATATATATATATATTTCATGAGATTTGCTAACTAAACTGAAACACATTTCTATAAATGTTGCAGGTGAACACTGGGGATCTTGTTTCTTAGTAAACAATAAATTTCAAAGATTCCCTTACTTTATAAAGTAAAATTTTAAATGTAAACATTGAATTCAAATAATTCAATTTATTAAAAATGGCTGCTACTCTACATTATCCATGACTTTTGTGTGGATATATATAATAATTACAGTAATTTTATTTTTATTCTATATAAAGGTATGAGTAAATTTGGAGGAAAATTTTGTTAATTATATTGTGTTCAAATTTAAATTAAGCTATCCAGAAGATCAACTGAATGCAAATACAGATGCAACAATGCTCTAAGAATCAAAGGTCATAGGGCTAGAGAGATGGTTCAGTGGTTAAGAGCAATGACTGTTTTTGCAAAAGACGCTTTTCGGTTCCCAGCATCTACATGGCAGCTAACAACCATCTGTAATTCCAGTACCAGAAGATCTTACACCTTCTTCTGACCTCTGTGGACATTGCATAACAGGGGTGCACTTACACACATGCAGGCAATACACTCATACACATAAAATAAAAATAAAATATTTCTTAAAAAAGAATTAAAGGTCACAAAGATCAGGTTTTCAGTGGTTTGAAATGACCTTCCAGTTACACTATTTCAGACCTTTTGCAGTAATCCCATGCTCCTCTCTCTTTAACTTTTGATTTAATAATCTTTCATTGCTTTCACTGTCTACTTTCTTTGTGTAAATTTGTCCAATCATCTCAGTCTTGCTTTTTGTAATTTAAGAGCCCTTTATGTAGCCAACTGGGAGAATAGTTTATGAGGTTTAGAATGAAGGTCCATTATTAACATTGCCTTCCCTGCACTGGATACATAGGTTCCTGTTCGTGCATGGCAGAATTGTAACTCAATCAGCAAAGGTAGAAGCTTTAAGTGAAGTCTTATGAAATTATCATTGGTTACATGAGCTTACATTAATTTACATTTTTTAAATTTGTTTTTACTGAAATTTTTGTGAACAGCAGACCCCAATCTTACCTGAAAAAATATTAACAACTGATTGCTGCTAGGTGAAGAAGAGTTGATCTTCCTAAAACAAGGGACTCTAGATAGGCTGACTAGACTTCAGTGGATGGACTTGCACTGGGAACAACTGGGGACACTGACAACACGAGGGCCTTAACAGAGATGACAGAGTATATGGGCTCCAGTGGGAGGGGTTATGAGACAGTGCCAGTGAGTACTAGGGTATAAAGATAATTAAGATTGTGATTCACATTTTTAAAGCATAGATTGTTCAAGGAGATTAAAGAACTTTATCTTTAAATTGATTTATCTATACTGTTCCCACAAGAATTTGTGTCTCTAAACAGTGTCAAAAGTGGTAATTTTGTATGTCCTCAGGTTAATATCTGCTATTCAGTCATTTGCTAGAATATTATGCAATGTGAATATTCTTCACTACAAAGCTAAATGAAGAGAGAATAAGAGTGGGTTTTCTCAGTTCTGAAGAGAGGTTAATTTTAAGTGTTTTTACTTTATCAAAGTACTCCTGACTTGCGCTCAACAATCATTGGCACTAATAATGTTTATGAGACTTGAAGAAAATTACTCTTTTTCTTAGCATTTCAGTGGCCAATGTCTTTTTACTACAACAGTCTAATCTAATTACACCTTCTAATGAATCTGAAGAGCTGTGATTTGAATCATGAATAATTCCTTTCCAGTCAAAGTTAAATCCTAAATACTCTGCGAAACTTGACTTTTTCTAAGCAAGTTGCACAGGGGATAAGTAAGGAAATGCAATTGGAAAACTGTAATAGAAAACTTTCTATTTGAATATATTTGTTGAGATATCCTTTATTATTTTAAATGGAGGCTATAAATCAACCACTTCTGTTATCCAAAACTTATCCCTTCTCCTCTCCAACCCTCAGCATTCTCATGGACTTCTGAGAGTACCTATTCTTCTATAGATCTATTAACATGCAAGTCTTATGTCCCCTCATGTACCCTGTGGATAAAACTGCATTCTCGACTCCACTGAGTACTATACTTTGAATATAAAGAAATGATAGCTAATAATACTTGAATTCCTGCTATGTACTGGATGTCATTCTAAGCTTTTTAGTATATTAACTTTTAATCAGCCAAAGGAAATGGATGCCACTAGACTCTTCACTTGATAAGAGAAGGAAACAGAAAGTCAAAACAGTTAAGCAATATGACCAGAGTCACACAGCCTCTAAATGGCCAGGTCTGGTACATCTCTCCATGATTGACTTTCAAAGCACCAAGTACTTATTCCTTGCCTTCCAGATAGTTAGGATTTCATATTTGCATTTCCATTTATGTGATTAATGTCTGCTAATTCTACCATGCCTGAACATATTAACACAACATCTAGCATTTAACTGATGAATAATTGCAGTTGACTTTTTTTGTTCTGCTAGCCACTGCAGCTTTATACTTAATCCTCGTTAAGACTCTCTGATGCACCTACCAATTTTATCTCTGCTGTATGGATAAGGAAACTGAGCTAGAGAGAGGATTTGTCCAAGACCATAGAGCTAGTAAATGGTGGAGCCAGCATATAAACAGAAATCAGGCCCCTGAGCTATACTCTGAAGAAATGAAGTGATGAATTATGGGAATTTATCTTGGAGCATCAGGGAGAGATGGCATTTGAGATGGAGTAACAGTCCAGGCAGAGACCACATGTGGATTAAACACTACAGAACAATATAGCTGGAGCCAAACAAATGCTCTGTAAATCTAAATGGAGGAATGGTTCATTTTACAGCCCAGGGCTTAAGAGGTTTTGAATATCTAATGTTTCATTACTAATGTTTCATGCTTTTCTTTTTTTCTTTCAGTGCCATCGTGGGCCTTAATTGCCATAGCCATAGTTGCGGTCCTTTTAGTCCTGACCTGCTGCTTTTGTATCTGTAAGAAATGTTTGTTCAAAAAGAAAAACAAGAAGAAGGGAAAGGAAAAGGGAGGAAAGAATGCCATTAACATGAAAGATGTGAAAGACTTAGGGAAGACCATGAAAGATCAGGTAATGCACATATCCCTTGTTTACATATTTGTGGATATTTTGTTGAGAATTTACCAAGAAATGCTCTATTGTTTTATGCCAGATCCCTATAGAGCTAAACAACTTGTGGCTGCATTATTGTTGTAGGGACATTTGACATTCCTTTCAGTCATTACTCAGACCTCAAGTGTAGTGAGACAGGTGCCATGGTTTTCCATTCTCAGGAGGACACGAACACACCAGAAGAGGGCTTCCACAGTCACCAGGCCTGGCTTCATGGGCCTGGCATAATAATACCTGGATATTTTTATTCCATCTTTTTTATTTCATTATCAACCATGCTCAGAATTTTAAGATATATAATACAGGGTACCAGAGTGCTCTACCTCTTGAACAGAGGATATATCCTTTCTATCTTTTTCACTGACCTTAATCTCTGTTAAATAACCAAGTTTTACAGCCCTTTGTCATACTTGATAAATGCCAACCTTGCTATATACCCTTGCCAGCACAGCACTTAGTTGCCAGGAATAATGGTTATATGTGGTGAAGGGAGATATGATCTAGTACTAAAGGACAGACAGAGTTTGAAGACAAAAATCCTTAATTCCCTCAGTTAATGCCATAAAATCATGATGCTATCAAGAAAGTCCATATACCTGGGTTGCCTTTCCATGCATAGGGAAGATACGTGGATTTCCTCTGTACTGCTGTTTATTTTTAATGGAGTTAACTTGGCAACTTAGTTCAAGGTAAAGCTTACTATTAGTCAAAATTGTTAGTATTTGGGGAATAATATTTTATATTAGATATTTCTAAAGATTTAATTCATATAAAATGTGAATGTAAAAGTTTTGAATATAAATGTTTAAGGTTATTATTTCCCACCAGACAATTCAAAAATTCTATTTATTCCCAAATAGCAGTATATAGAAGCATTTTACCAATTATTTTATAGTATTGTTTACTATTAATTGAGCTCATAAATACATGAAGCTCTTTAAGAACAGTTTGATCAGGTGTTAAAACAGGCCTCATAGAACATTTGTATAATTTTCCAGTTATCCACACACTTAACTCTGATACTCTAACTCTCCTTCCCAGCTTGTTTAAAACTATTTGTCAAAGACTCTGTAGTGTCTATTGACAACAATTTCCCAGAGGCTTCTCTCTTCCTGCAGTTTCACTTGTTTTCAGAGCTATAGAATGGATATGATTTCTGTTTTCATGAAACCTCTCAGGTTTGACTTGAGGTCAGTTCTCAGGAGCTTCTTCTTGGTCAAAGAAGCCCACGCATGCACAGTCAGCTATAGATATCCAAGTTGTCTTTTTTCCTTTGGTTAATTTTTTAAGTAGACACTGAAATTTTGAATCATGTCTTGCTTTATTTCAACTGTTTCAATAGCAAGTATGGTTTGATACTGATTTTTTTCCCTTTTTTATGTATTTGGTTTTTTTGAGACACTGTCACAGATTTCCTTAAAAAAATTATTATTAAGTATAAAAATAACCTCCTAGATGAACATGGAGTGAAAAACAAGTATGCTGTTTTAGCAATATCTTTGAAATCAATAATTTGAAAATATAATGCGGTCATTTTCATGATTACTGTAAAATTCAAATGTGATTTCCTTGTGTCCTAGAATGAACAATTAACAGCACTCAGTAACATTAAATGATAACTACAGCATTCCTTTCTAGGATAAGAAATTTATATTTTTATTTGTGGATTTGTTGTGTATGATGTAATATTGTAATTGATAGCATAGTGCCATATCCCTGTTGTACCATGGATAAATGACCAAGATCTCTCATAGGAACTTGATGGTGGTTAATTGTTCATCAATCACCTGTTCCTTTGGATGGGGAGGGGCAGATAAATACAAACCAAATAAGGAAGTAGCAGTAAAGAGCTACTGACAGTTCGTAATAACTTGCTGTTAGTGCAAAGTATTTAGAATTTCAACCACTTAAAAATGTTTTTAATGACTTATAAGTACACCATTTTATGTAGTTAGGGCTTTAACTAGGTATAATTTTTAAGTTTTAAATATATACAAGGAAATATAATTTGAGCAAGTGAAATCTTCATACCCCATAGATAAACAACTACATAAGAGTAGTTTATGTTTCTACTCAGTTCTGACAAATAATGGATGCCAGTAACTTATGAAGAGGAAGGCTAAAGGTAAAAAAAAAAAAAAAAAATGGAACACACAGTTTTTAGGGGAATGATCTGTCCACATGGTGATCCATGATCCTTGTAATTATAAACAGCACAAATACAAATTACATTCATTTTTAAACAACTGTATTTTTAAATAGTTTAAGCAATATATTGAAATGAACTTGGACAAGGCAAATAAGGACATATTTGTCTCTCTTATTTATAAACAAGACAGACATAAAGAATATTTGATATGACTTCTGAAGCTTATACAGGCTCAGGTAATCAATAAGACTTTATCATTTCAATCCCAAGCAGACCCATAGAAATTCAAAATTTAACACTCATGGTTATCTGTCTCTATAGTAAGATTTGAATAACCAAGAAAGAATCTTAAAACACACAGCAATGAAAAAAGTAAACTATAGATAATATGTATTTCATAAGATGCATATTTAAGGGTTCTTTTTATATTTTGAATCTTGACACCACTAAACATAGAGAGGGAAGGTATCAACTTGTAAAATCAGAGGTCACAAAAGGTCATTTCTCCATGGTTTTCACTAACGTGTGTGGATACTTTAATTTTTATTTCTTCCTTCTATGTCCTCCTTATCTGTGTTGTGTCTCATGACTGTTCTGGACTGTCCCTTGCGGTAGGTTTTCACTGCTACTTAGACATCCCTAATCAATGCTGGTGGCTGGGCTCCACAGCTGAGGGCTTACCATTCTGACATCAAAAGGCTGAACTCAACTGATTTTCCAAAGATGAAGTGTATTCATTTTAAACATTGCTAACATGGGCTAAATAAAACAGTATTAGAAAGCTCAAGTTTTAAATTGATAGACATGAAAGGAAATTCAGTGTTGCCTTGTGCTACCTTTGTAGTGTGCCTTACCAAATCCTAATCTGAACATTGTAATTTAGAATGAACCGATAACACTCCTTCTGATAACTATATGTCAAAGTAAACCATAAGCACATACCCCTAAACCTTAGAGACTTTAAGTAAGGCCCAATGTTTCCAACAAAGATTTCATATTGCAATTGATTGGACCTCTGAGCCACTGAGCTTACAAGCTTTTTATTCTGAATTTTTTTTCCACAGAGGGAAAACTATTGCTCTCGAGATATTATAATAGCTACTGATTTAATAGGTCTGAATTTAATGTAATGGTACAGAAAATGTCTTAATGAAGCTCAGCCTCTGGGACAGGAATAGACTTAATCACTTCAGTGATGAACAGGAACACTGAAAAATTATCAAAAATTTAGCCCCATTTCATGCAGAATAATTGCAGAGATGGTCCTGCACCTTCTATTCTGGCAAAAACCATTTAAGAAAAAGGAGATTTAATATCCCAACTATTTCAAATTGCATTGAGCTGAAACATGATATATAAGGTGTCATTTCTGCAAAGGGACTTTTGAAAAAGTATTTTAATTCATGAATTTTTTATTGTGACAATGGAGTGACATGTAGATATTTCCAGTCAGAGGATACATTAAATAGTTTGCTGTTATTTTTTAGGAAGTAAAATATTGAGGGGCTGGAGAGATGGGTCAGCAGTTAAGAGCACTGACTACACTTGCAGAGGACCCAGTTCAAATCCCAACACCCATATGGTGGCTAACAAGCATGCATAATTCCAGTTCCGGGGATCCGATGCCCTCTTCTGACTCCTCAGCTGGCATTGCATGACATGGGTACACTTATAGACATGCAGACAATGCACTCATATACATAAAAAATAATAGAAAATATTTTAAAATAATTTTAAATGAAATAAAATATTTCAAGGAAGCAAATTATCTAAACTGTAATTTTATTTATTTAAATAAAATATTGCAAGGAGGTAAATTACCTAAGCTGTAATTTCCTACCAACATCTTTTATGATCACAAAGACTTACATATACAGCTATGGTTCTCAAAAAAGAAATGAGATTCCACTGCCTAAAGTTCTCTAGTCAAACTCATATAATTTTGATGCAATTGTTGAAGAATTCTGCTGATTCCTGCTTTGGTTCTCACAAAATTATCATCTTAATATTCAAGGAAGCATCCAAGTATAAGTTAATCCTCCTAAATTCAATGGTGTGAAGCTAGGCTAATTGGAAAGAGGCAATTTTCAATTTTTCAAGCTCACCATAAGTTCCTGAGATACCAAGAAGCACAATGGGGCAGCACATGTGATAGCAGCTCAACTCTATGCAGATGCTCTTCTTACCCAAGAGGGGAACTAATGAGCTATCTGTCTCTGCTACAAACCAGATCTGTGGAGTCAGCTGGGAGGAGTCAAACAGAGAGATATTATAAATTCACAGATGGAGGTTGCCATTTTGAAGCACCACTAAGGATCTCTGTATAACTGATGAGTGAGAGTCTCTACTGAGAATGATGAAGACAGAACAAATGATCCATGTAGTCCAAAAGATGGGCGGCACAAGATGGCAGCCAGGGTCTGATGGCCCTGTGGCCTATTTATAGTCTGGTTAACCCCTCACATTTGAATTCTGTAGGAATTTCCAGATTCAATTTGAGAGCTGAAAATAGTTAAAGGCTCTTTGCTTTTGCAAAGATATAAGACAGTCTGTGAATAGTGCACAAAACAAAAATGTGATAGTTAAAAGAAAGAGGACATTTAAAGAAGCTGGAGAAATGGATCAGTGGTTAAGAGCACTGCTCTCACCTACACGGTGGCTAACAATCATCTGTAACTTCAGTTCCAGTGGATCTGATGCCCTCTTCTGTCCTCCGCTGGCATTGTGTAACATGGGTGCACTTACATACATGCAGGAAATACACTCATACACATAAAAGTAAATAAATAAATAAATTCTTTAAAAGGGGATATTTGCTCCATATAGAAACCGTGTTGAAACTGTTAAAACCCAAACAGCTACTATAAATCAATAAGGAAAACTTCTTTTCTTTCTTTCTTTCTGTTTTTCCTTTTTTTAAAATTTTATTTATTTTTATTTTATGTGTATGAATGTATTGCCTGCATGTAGGTAAGTGCACCCATGTCATGCAATGCCCACAGAGGTCAGAAGAGGCTGTTGGATGCCCTGGGACTGGAGTTATGGACAGTTGTCAGCTGCCACGTGGGTGCTAGGATTCGAACCCAGGTCTTCTGCAAGAACAACCAGTGTTCTTAACCACTGAGCCATCTCTCCAGCCCCAGGAAAACATTTTTAAATTACCAAAGAATATATACAAATATTGACTAGAACAAAATATGTGAATTGCAATATAAATAGTTTTACATTTTTCAAACTTAACTGGTGAACAGGGAAACGGAATTTTTCATAGTTTTTAACTTTAAATAATAACTATGGATGGAGTTAATTAATTAATCTTAATCTCTTTAAAGCAGTATCTGTACATCCTTATAAAGAAATTTTTCAGAATTAATCACATTTATAATGGAAATATCTGGGAAAATTTTTGCATATTAGGAAAACATGTACTTTGATTTGGGAAAAAAGCATTTTATGTGTTTTAAGACATAATGAGCTTTCTAGTATTTAAATTTAATTGGTCAGTCTAGGTTTTATAAGTGTTTCTTCATAAGTTCTTGCTCTCTAATGCAAGAAGAATTTTATACCCACATTGAGTTTTTTTTTCCAAAACTGAACGTGTAACTTTTGTCTTTTGATATTAAATAGACACAAATCAGTTCAATTCAGCCTAGCTTTCTGTGGAGCTGTTATGAAAATAAAATGGTAAACTTCAGCTGGAAACGGAGTAAACTTCTCTAAACATGCATTTGCTGGTGGCATGTTTTATCTCTTTCCCTCAAACATTATAAACATTCATGCGAAACACAGAGAATTAAAATCTTCTGAGGGTCACTCGGCTATCTTTTGCATAGGCAATGAGGAACAAAAGGCCATGCATTTCATAGAAATCTCTCCACTGCATGTAACAATGTTTTACATGATGCTGATCATTTCTTCGGCGACAAGAATGTGAAAACTGGCCTGGTTAAAAGCATGTTTATCACACTAGAAAGAAAAAGGCAACATTATCAGAGGCAAGAATTATACCGAGCTGACATTTTCCTTGCAGCAGTTCTACATGTTTGCTTGCACTATCAAGGGGCTTCTTCCATTGCTTCCATGTTGCTTGCTGAGTGGGGGAAAAATTCTGCACACAAGTGGAATTTAAAGAAATTTGTAAGCAGCAAATGAGAATGTGTCAGACAAACAGATTTCCAGCATCTTAGTGCTTGCTTCAGACAGCTTTGAGGTGGAAGTATATGGCCAGCTTAATTTGGACTTTGATGAAAATTCACTGGAATTCATGTACAACCCCTTTTTCTACTGATAGGCCCTTAAGGATGATGATGCTGAAACTGGATTGACTGATGGGGAAGAAAAAGAAGAACCCAAAGAAGAGGAGAAACTGGGAAAGCTCCAATATTCACTGGATTATGATTTCCAGAATAACCAGGTCTGATGGGAAAATGTCTTCTAATTCCATTACCTTTCTGAAATTACCAAGTAGAAACTGATGCAAGTTACTCCTTAAAATATTTCGTTTGCTGTAAGGGGGAAAATGCAATTATCAAAGCTATTGATGAAATAATTTCTAAGTACGGGCAGTCCCCTACTTGCTAATTTAACTTCTGGTAATTAGAATTCACAGTATTCAACTGATTATATCTACTCATGGCACTGACAGCAGGCAGGCAGAATACAAATTAACCCCAAGCCAGCCTGCTACTGAGAGTCCCTACAGGTCTCTCAGTGTGAGCTGGAACAACTTTCCTTGGACTTCACAGGTTCAGAACCAAACAGCACAAAGGAAGGCCCTTTGTGTCAAACTGCCATCCAGTCCCACCATATCTATATGTGCTAAGGGATAGAGGGTTAAATATTGACAACAGTCTGTGACTTTTAAAGGCAGAAAAACGTTATATATAATATCATGATGTTATGTGAAACCCCCCAGATTGAAGAGATAGCAATTCTAGAAAACTAGAAAGATCAGTACCTTGGTTTCCAGAGCCTAGGGTGGTCCCAAAAGTGACAAGAAGCTAAAGACTGCAAAACAGGCATTCCTACTGCAATTTCTCAAAAAGTAATGAAATGCTATTTAGGTCAATGAAAATATTAGCTCCCTCTTGCTGACTGCCTGTTATCCAGGTAGCTTAAAGATCACTGGAAAATCTCTCTACAAAACCTTCTAGGTAAGATTCATAACATTAATGAAAATGTCCTTTCACCTTCTGAACTGCTAAATAATTTGAATAAGCTAAGTTCAGAATGTAGCCCTTTTCCTACTAGGGAGTACAGCTCCCTCTTGCTGGTTAAGCTTCACTCCTCCCTTGTTGGGTGAGGAGCGATTGATAAATGTAAGTTACTGGGAATGCAGCATATGCTAGTGATATCCTGTTTGATGAGCAATGAATGATAAATGAATCACACATTAACACTCAGCATTGATGGCTAATGTCCAAAGACAGAATTGGAAGCAGTTTCAGAAATTGTATTTTGTATAGGAACTGACAGTTCAATTTCAGCTGGATTCTGGAAGCTTCAGAGGGTTCCCCATGAAGGATATGTAGAGGTACTAAATTTAAAAAAAAATGACTGGAGAGGGCAGTACATGCCTTTAATCCCAGCACTCAGGAGGCAGAGGCAGGTGTATCTCTGTGAGATCGAGGCCAGCCTGGTCTACATAGTAAGTTCCAGGCCAGCTGGGCCCGGCTATAGGGAGATCCTATCTCATAATGGAAAAAAAAAATTCATATGCTTTTAATTTGATCACCTTCACTGGATATCCCCAGCTAGTTATTTCATAGTACGCTCTAGAAATCTGCATATAGATGTTTAGGTATGGTTCTTTGAAGTATTTATTTATATAAGTTAATTGGTATATCATTTCCAGGCAATTTTATATGGTATTTCAGGTCATTTCTACCACTTCTACAAAAATGGGAACATTGGGATTTGATTAGGAGCAAAATATCATGTTGTTTATATATTCCAGGAAAAGTAAAGTTTATCTTACATTAAGATTTCCATGTTTTTAATTTGCCTTTATATATTCATTTAATGCTTTTCTCCCAACACATTCTCCATATTTCCCAGCAGAAATCTAACAGCACCTCATCCTTAATAATAATTTGGCAACTTCTAAATATCATTTAATTCATTCAATAGTGTTTTTTTTTTTCAATAACAAGTTTCAGAGCTAAAATGCATCTCTTGCAAAATTGGCTGTAAATTTTTAGGTTTACAGTTGAATTAAATACAGTTATACAATATTGAACTCAGTATAAGCCCTGTTAAGACATGAAATTGTATGAGTTTTTTAAATTATTTATTTAATAACCATATAATTAGAAGAAGCATTTCATTACAACAGCATTGACATATTCAATAACAGTTTCAGAGCTAAGTTGCATGTCTTTCAAAATTGGCTGTAAATTTTTAGGTTTACAGTTGAATTGATACATTTATACAATATTGTACTCCATATAACCCCTATAAGACATAAAATTAAATGAGGTTTTAAACTTTAAAAAAGATCTCCATTTCAGTTTATGCTTTGAAGAATTATTAGTATTTTATATTTGTTTATAAACCCACTTCCCAGATAGCACCCTCCCATAGCCTCCCTCCCCCAACTAGAACCCTTATACTCTGATATCCCTGCTACTGTCTGCTGTGTTGTCGGCACC